AAATTGCGCAACCTAGTTCACTGCATGTGGTTGCGACATCTTAGCGACTTTCGTCTCGCCGGATCATTCAGTTGGGGCTCGGCAGTTTTGGCTTTGCTGTACAGTGAGATGTGTAGAGCCACTGACTACAGACGTAATGCTATCGGCGGACGTCTCTTGCTGCTGCAGTCTTGGGCATGGTATCAATTGCCCTTTTTATGACCTGTTGTGAAGAACCCATTCGTATTTCTACTACTTCTGAGGTAATTATAAAACTGATTTTGTATATTAATAATTTTATACAGCGTATAACAATTTTTTTTCCTTGAATAGGTGGTCTACTGATAGGAAAAATCATCAGGAACTACCTGATGATTTAGAAAAAATTAGGGTATAAATCGATCAGTAGACTGGCACATAGGTATGAATTTTAATGTTTAAAAATCGATTTTAGATTATAGTTATATAATTAGATTATTATTTTGATAAAAATTATATATTATTTGTTTTAGTTTGAATGGGTGTCATATTCTACTGATAATGTGAGGGCGGTGATCCCACCTGAGTTGAGGGGTCCATCAGATGTTTGGATGGCGATGGTCCCTCTGATCTGTTATGCGACCGTCCAGTGGCACTCCACTGATCACGTGCTCCGGCAGTTTGGTTGTTTTCAACCAATTCCGGAAGCACCTCGCAATATGGATGAGTTGCATAGCTTAGATAGACACGACAAGATAGATACAGATTGGCTGGTGAGGCATCATGAGTGGGTCGTGTTGTGGGAGGATCGACATCGGCGCCTTCCACGTAGAGAGCCCATTTTTACTGACTTCTTGATGTATGCTGAGGATTATTATGAGTGGTTCAACAGTAACGGGAAACCGTTTCTACTTCCAGAGGATGCACGAGGGCAGACATTTCCACGACGTCGACAGAGACGTTCACCGACACAACACCATCGTCCCCCTACTCGTGGACGGAGAGCAGGTGCTTTCGATTCATCCTCAGCTACACCAGCAGGACCTTTCCAGCAGCTACCGCAACCATATATGATACCGCCATCGCCTTTCCATTACCAGATGTCGCCGCCGCCGCCTTCACCTGGTTTTATGACCCCGCCACCGCCACCGTCAAAGATGACCCCTCCTGGAGGCTATTATGGGTTTATGTTTGCAGATCTGACTTGGGGTTCATATACTGGATATTTGGCGGGTTCAGCCTCATCACCCATGGCCGCAGCACAGACACCTCCTGTACAGTTTTCACACTCAGCGATTTCTGGGTTTTCCCAGTTTTCGCAGGCCGGTGGGATAGTCAGTCATACACCTCCAGGGTCCTTATTCTATGGAGGTGCTTCATCGTCATCAGCTCCTCATCAACCTAATGTACATGCTCAGGACGACGACGACGACGATGACGACGATGACGATGGTGACGACGACGACGACGATGATGACAGCGAGGAGTCAGAACCATTGATACGAAGAAATCCTCCTCGAGACCGACAACCACCTCCCTGTGGAACACATTCGCGACGCAGACATCGATCGATTTTTTTATATATATTTGTATTTACTTTATTTTATTTAATTGTAATTTTTTATTATTTCTCATTTAATACTTATTTTATTTTGTTAAATTTGTTGGACTTTTTTTAAATATATTTCAGTTAATTTTGTTTATTACCATTTAATATCAGTTATTGTAATTTGATTATCATTTACCATTTAATTCTCGTTGTAAGTTTGTTGTATTTAAATACCAAATTGTTATTAGTTTGATAAAATTTAATGATTGTGTTCATCTTTTTAATCTTCATCAGCGATTATCGAATGACATTAACTTAAAGTAAATACAAATTAAAATACAAGAATTATTATTTGATAAACAAATACATCATTTCCTCATCAATTGTTACTTGATGACAACAGAAGTGAACATGTTTTTCTAGTGTGTCATGGGTTTCTACAATGGCCACATCTTCTGTCTTGTCTAGATCTTTCTCGAATATCCATATCGTAATGAATTCGATTGGATTTTGGACGACCACGCTCCTCAATAACTCGGATGGTACAATCGGAAGCCAATCTTGAACCTCATCAGGGTCTTTGTCATTACCTATGGGGGAAAACTCAAATTCGTATACCTTAAAAACTTCAGATAGTAGGTATACGGGATCCACAAAATGGTTATAGTCTTGCGGTGTACCCATACTGCGATTGTATAGGTGAAATCAACACTGCAACAGCTATATGAGAGCTTGCAATTACCATGGGTATGATGGCTTGGTATATCACTTCAGAGTCCAAGTTGGGATGATCTTGGTTGACCCCTCCAGCACAACATGTGTGAGGACCGTTGTATACTGTTAGTTCCCATATGTTATTTTTCCTCTTCATTTTCGATATGCGAACCATCCAATTGCATCCGTTTTCGCGTCGGGCACAGTAGCATACATATTTTTCGGTCGTCGATCAGTTGACTCTGGACTGAACAGAATTACGGATATTGTAATTTTTGATAGCCATCATCGCTTCTTCTTTGCTTGAAAACTCCATGCCTAAAGATAACTCACCATTATTTATTGATAAGTAATATCCATAGTCACCGAGATGAGACATATCCGCAAATTATGGACCGTACATTGCACCATAATCAGCTTCATACATGTGTGCATGAGGGTTGGTTTGTGCCACATTTCCTGGAACTTCATCATCATCGGAGTTGAATTGCGGTGATTCTGGGTGAATGAATAGTCCAGTCTCAGCACCATCAGCACCAGGCTCACGAAGCGGTTCTTCTGGTGTATATGATGGTTCCTCCATGCTCTCCACATTTAGGTCGAAGAACCTACTACTTGCACGCCTTCCCCTTGAACTGGAAGGCATATCGACATTGAGATCGAAAAAGCTCGCAGTCGAATGCCTCCCCCTGGAGCTTGAAGCCATCCTGTCAAATGGAAATTGCACAAATGGTTGCGTCGATGGCATCTCCATATGGTCAAAGAAATTTACAGATGAATGTCTTCCCCTTGAACTGGACGCGGTGTTGCCATACGGATTGTTCGTGGACCCACCTCGGTATATATCGTAAGGAGTTACGGATGAATGTCTCCCCATTATGACATTAAAATCATTACACATTATTGTAGTCGGGCTGTCAATTTGATCAACTTGTTCAGCCAACCCATAGTGTGAGCTTAAAGATTGACCCCGAACAGCATGCACTTGAACAAAATGTGCATACATCTCAATAGCGGCGTCTGAATAATTACTTTGAGCTTCAACCATCATTTGAACATCATCATTGTTCGAAAGTTCGAACGCTGTATAAGTTAATGGCAACAATGATGTTGGAAATCTGTACTGCAAAGACGACATTCTTCTATTACTTCCAACATGAATCTTCCTCGAAATCTTCGTTATCAGCTCCTCAAGAGTTATGTTTCTCTTGAATGATATTTTAACATGCTCATTTGATACGAAAACAACGCCGGTTTCATCTTCTCGAATTTCACCATCATAATAAATAATAGCTGAAAGACGCGTCATTCTTTGTGTTTAAAAGTGGGGCAATATTATATCTGTAAAAAAAATAACTTAAACAAACCTGATTAAATAAATTATATATGAACGAAAATATAACACAATTTTTTTTACACATCAACGTAAATAATTAAATAATATAATTTTATATTATTACCTGCACCGCAAAACTATTTCGATGTATGCTTCCGCTTTTCAATTTTACAAATATAAAAAATAATTAAAAATAATTAGTATTATATTTTTTCAAATAATGATACTAAACAATAAGTATAATTAAAAAATTATAACAAAATTATCTTATAACGAAAAATCGCACGAACTTCTAAATCAAATATAAGAAGATTGTCAGAATTATTACTCGTTGACGGAATTGTTGTATTAATTTATAAGAGATGAGAGATGCAAGGAGATGTGAGGAGAAATGCGAAAATCAGTATTTATAAACATATAAGGCGCGGTACATGCACCGCGTTATATGTAATTATTATATAGTGCGGATCAGGGATCGCTTTAAATATAATTTTGGTACGGCGTATAGCGCGACCCTTGATCCGTGCTGTACCCCTACGTGGCGTATAGCGCGGAGCAGGGGGCGCGCTATACCCTACGGGTAATCCAGTCAACGTATAGCGCGGTACAGGGGACGCGCTATACTCCACGTGACGCCAAATCAACATATAACGCGGTTCAGGGGGCGCGCTTTACTACTACGGGTGTTAGATCAAAAAATATAATCTGACCGGTGTTAGATCGATAAATATACCAATTATCGATGATTTTTAGGAAAAATCGCCCCTAATCCATACATTAAACCTTTGAATAAAAAATAAAAATAATATTCAATACATAGTGGATAAAGGACAAGTGCTACCACATTTAGTGAACAAAATAAAATATGTTAAATGAATTATAAAATATAAAAAATTTATTTAAACATAAGTAATGAAAGTAATTATAATATTCGATATTTTCTCTTGAGCAATTTAAGATTCTAAAAAATCTATAGCAACAAAAATATATTCTTACGTTCGACTCTAATTAAAATGAATTGTTCCTGGTGTAATAACCCCACAAATTAATAAATTAGAAAAGAACAATAAGTAGAACACTCACCTAAACTGTAAAGAACAGAAACTAAGCCAAGTGAACAACAAAGAAGGAGGAGAAGAAGAAAATGCAAACCCTAAATCTTTCATTATGATACCAGGGGATGGAAGAAATATGAAAAAATACAATTATTTTCTAAAATTTGTTTACATGTCTCTTAATTTATTTATCTAAGTGGTGTATTTGGACTCACTCAACAATGTATTAAATAAATATAATTATAATATTTTACATAATATAATAGAAAAGAGGGGAAAAATAGACTTTAATCTCGATCGAGTCCTTATTTTTTCAGTATAAAGGTTGGTAAAAAAAATGATAAAGCAAGCAACTTTTTCTTTTAGTTTGATGATTGATTTGGTGGTTAGAATAACCCCAGGGCATACAACACCAAAAGGCTTTGAAAAACGACAAAACACCTCCCCAAACTTTCTGTCAGAAATATCTGCAACACAGTTACGTTCAATTATTACAGGAAGTAGCCGGTCCTCCTCCGGTTTTCCAAACCCTATGATCGTCCTCCCCTCCCCAACGAACAGATAAACAAAGAGATCTTGTCTGAGGAGTTTGAGGACCGAGGTCAGTGACCGACAACTATGAGATGAGTTTATTTTGTTCGTGCAAGAAAAATCAAAAGATTTTAAAAGTTCGTGAAGTTACTTACTGTGCATCCCATACCGAAAATCTCAGTGTCTCGAACGTATCACCGCCACCCCCTCCCCCCCTCTTTCTCTCTCTTTCTCTGCCATGTTTTCAGCTGCTGAAGAAAAAAGATCGTGATAACCTTTCATTTCATCTTTCTCAATAATCACCACCTTTCTCTTTCACTCTATTTATATCACACAATCCAAAGTTCAAAATTCTAAAATTTCAAGCATATATCCCTTCGCCTCCAGTCTCTTTTCTAATCTTTTGTTGTTGCAGTGCTCTTTTTGATTGGTTTTCATTTTTGTTTCTTTAAACTCCCTCTCCCTCTCTAGAGTTTTAGCTTTTTTTTTAGTGGTATGGCGGAGGGTTTTGAGCCCTACCATGTCCCACAGCAAAGCAGAAGAGATAAGCTAAGAGTTGTGGCTCAGAACCACCCGGCTTGTGTTGAATCCACGGCTGTTGCTCTTTCAGGTTGCTCGGGTTTTCTTCCCTTGTACGACCCTTCTATTCTTTCTTCTGATTTGCTAACGGCCACTGCCGGTGGTAGCCATGGCTTCCACCACCACCAAACTGGTAAAAACAGTCCCATTTGTGCTGTTAAAGAAGGTGTGAATTTCATGGGCTTTGTTGGTGGGATCGTTAACGGTGCTTCTTCTTCTTCTTCTTCTTCGACTTCTTATCACCCTTATTTGAATTCACCGTCGTCTTTACCCTTGAACCCTAGTACGATCCAAGACATGAATAATAACAACAACCCGGTTCTTTATGCCCCTCAAAGCCTTCAAAACCTAAGAGACTTCGACCAGTCGTCCTATACTAACGGTGCCGAAGTAGTTGTATATAAACCCGAGCCTACTGCCACCAGTCAAGGCTTGTCTCTCTCTCTCTCTTCTCATAATACACACCAAAACAATCTGCCCACGGGGCTAAATCTACAAAGGTACGAAGTTACTTCCGCTGGATATTTCTCTTCTACTTCGAATGAGGTTTCCCGGATCTCGGTCCCTCTCGGTCCTTTCACGGGCTACGCTTCGATTCTGAAGGGATCGAAGTTTCTGAGGCCGGCACAGCAGTTATTAGAAGAGCTTTGCGATGTGGGTAAGGGATGTTACGTCGAGAAAATCACTCCCGACTGTTCTATCATGGAGTCTCCATCGCAGAACTTAAGTGCTACTGTAATTATGGATGATTCTGATAATACAGGAAAAAAATCAAGACTAATTTCAATGCTTGACGAGGTATTACAACATTCAATTTATGTATTCACGTGTTTTTCCTTCTTCAATTTGTCCTTAAATTTGTAGCATATCCAAGTGATATTTGGATCCGTGTCCCTTATCCTCTTCAAATATTCCTTGAAGATCGTTTTTTGTGAAACCCGAGCATTGCTTTCAATCTCTGCTTATTTTTTATTAAAATAAAAAAATATCGGATACTCTTAAATGTTGTTAGATTTAGTCAGATATGGAACCAACATTCAATTTTTTCTTTTGTGGTGTTGCTTGCATGCATTATTTTTTTTAAAAAAAATTTCCTCCATTTGTATACTGTGCGAATTGGATTCTTGTATTTGATGAATGGCCTCGATGATAACAAAAAAAAATATTATTATGTCTTTATGAAAAGGCGAAAGGAGGGGAATATATGCAGAAAGATCGGTGTTAATACAGTGTCTGACACAACCATAGAAAGACTTGTAGTAAATGACAAAGTCACCACTTTGGGGCTTAATATGCTCTAAAGTAATTTAAAGGAATCCATTTGAAAAGATTTATACTCCCAAAAAGTTTGTGGAAACCATAATTGGTTATTGCAAGCTGCCTACCGAAGGCAAGTAGCTTGCAATGTCTACTTTTTGCTGGATAGAGCTTAGCTGCATTGAATTAATATAATCTAGTACTAGCTAGCTAACGGGTGAATCTTGTGTTTTTGTGCTGAACAACACAAATACATGTGTGTGTGTGTATGGACTGACTTATTACATTGTATTTTGGTAAGTCCAATTTTAATCGTACTTAAAAATGCGTTGAATTCCATAAATTAATCTATTTACAGGGGTTAATGCTTATTATTGTCTGGAGTGATAACTTTTGATCTTTTCTTATTGGATAAGTTTGCATGTTTTATAATCTGTAAGTCAGGTGGAATGCCATTCTCCAATGGGATAACTTCGGAACTACTATGGAATTAATTAGTAACTAGTATTTAAGCTGATAATCGATGTTTGTCTTTATCGGCTCGTTTTGGTTTCACCTATCGTGCAAGTGTTTTCTTGAAGGATGTGTTTGTTCTTCAAAGCTAGTAACTGGTCTATCGGTTGGGTTATATAGAAGAATATATAGATGATTAAACAATATAAATGTTGGGGCAAAATTCTGTCTGATTACGTACGGATTACATGTTGGTAAAGATAATTGCATTCCATCTCAGGGAGAATATATATGACGGTGCGAGCCTTTTAATAAGGATGCACAACATTTCCTTCCCATTGGTGGGTGCTTTGACTGCCTACCATAAAAAGATTAATGCAATAAATCTGACATAGGGAACGATGTTAAGTTAAAATGTCAATTGTTTTATTTGCGTGTAAAGCATTGAGCACAACCTTTAACAATGTCCTAGTGAGGCAGTATCCTTATTTTCCTTGGATCTCTTAGTATGCTTCACTGGTGATTTCTCTTTTCACTACTTAGTCGCTTCATGTATCATTCTTCAGTGACTAAGGTTTCTAGCAATCTCCTAATATCCCAGGTTAGAGCAATGTTTTGTCTGATCATGTAACTTGATCAAACTTGTAATGTTTTACAGTAATTTTAGGGCCAGTTTCTTTATCCTTTTTAATAATTTAGCCACATTATTTTAAATGGGTTAATAGTTGTCGGTATCATCTAACTTTCCTACTTGCTAACTGTATTTATCCTTATTAGGCGTTCAGGAGGTACAAGCAATACTATCAGCAGATGCAAGCTGTAGTTGCATCGTTCGAATGTGTTGCTGGACTGAGCAATGCGGCTCCATTTGCAAACTTGGCGTTGAAAGCATTGTCCAAACATTTCAGTTTCTTGAAGAATGCAATAACCGACCAGCTTCAGTTCACTCACAAAGCTCATGATCAGATAATCCCTGGAAAAGATGAGGTTCCGAGGTTTGGAAGCTCCAACAGAAGCTTTTATAATCGACCGGTTCATAACTCAGGCTTCCCCGAGAGCCAACCAGTTTGGCGGCCTCAACGAGGCCTTCCTGAGCGTGCTGTAACTGTACTAAGAGCATGGCTTTTTGAACACTTTCTACATCCGTAAGTACTCGAGTCACATAGATAAAATCCCTAATCTTGTTTCCTTGATAACCTAATATGCTTGCTTATTTGGTTAACATTTATATTTTATGTTCTAGCTATCCAACAGATACAGACAAACTAATGTTGGCAAAACAAACCGGTCTATCACGTAGTCAGGTATGCCGTTAACCGTCATTCCTACAATCATTATATAGTCTTGCAAACAATTAGTTCTTTAATTTAAGCCTCAAAAACATAATACTTTTGAACCAGGTCTCAAATTGGTTTATAAATGCAAGAGTAAGACTGTGGAAGCCAATGGTGGAAGAAATACATATGCTGGAAACAAAACAAGCTCAAAAGGCATCCCAAAAGGACCGAAACACAAACAGGTCGAGCGATCATTTGTCCTTGGCGAACACTCTTGTATCTGAGCATCCAGCTACATCGACCCAAACGGTTCAAGATGCCCCGTTGAAGCAAACGAGAAGTGAACTTACCGATATACCTATGGGAAGCGAACCACTCAACTTGCCGTACAACAGTTTGTCGAGCCATCCACAAGATGGTGCCAGTGTCGGTTTCGGTGTTAGCATGGCAGGTGGAAGTACTGCTGGTGTTTCCTTGACACTGGGTCTTCATCAGAACAATGGTATTGGCTTACCAGAGCCCTTTCCTATAAACGCAGCTCAGCGTTTCGGTATCGGGGTTGAGGTAAACAATGAAGGGTATGTCATCGGTGGATATGAAGCACAAAACCGACATTTCGGACGGGATGTCATTGGCGGGCAGCTTTTGCATGATTTTGTAGGTTGAGAGAAGATGGGATAGAAGCTTCCTGGGCCATATTGTTTAAATTTGAAAGTGTATTTTACGTGGCTAAAAGCCAATATATGTTATCAGAATGCAAGCTGAAACAAAAGAATAGTCAGAATGACTTCCCCATGCCATTTTCTTATAGAAATGTGTACCAGCAAAGTATTGGCGTAGAATAATTCTGTAAATTTAGAATTTACAAGATGGAACTTTTTATATAATTTCGAGGCCATCAAATCATGGCCTAGGAATGTGCTTGTTATTGTATTCAAAGATGGAGGTATGGAGCACGTAATGAAACGAACAGATTTGGTATTCATTCTCTTTTAAAATATAATGCAGTTGCATGGCCATGGATGATAATGACAGGTGGTTCACTGGTGTTTTCTCAAACATGTATCCTTTCGTCCTTACTTTGGGGGCGCAGGCCATAATTTCCCCTCTTTATTTGGGCAGGGCTTTGGTTCAGAGTTTGAGGAATCGAGAAAGGGAAAGGATTGGTCCCAATACCAAAGGTCTTACCATGAACAATTGACCACACAAAAAGCAAAGGAGAGTGAGCTTTTCGTACTCAAGCTGGACGAAGATAGATTTACCATTCAGTAATGCAATATTTGTTTTTTCGTTTGAGAGGTTGCTGCACATCAATACGAATCTTGACTTGCATAAATCGGTTATATCTCAGTGCAAGGACTATTGAACTACAAATCATAGTCAATACACGAGCTGAAAGCCTTTCACATAAAATCATATTCAACGTCATTGATTGTTATACCAACAAGATCGTTTTTCATCACGACAACAAAAGAGAAGAAAAAGTATTGCAAAAGTAGAAGAAGAAAAGGTCGCGAGTTAACATAGATTAAGAGCGTTCGTATATATATATATTAAGAATAAGCCATAAGAGTTGACAAGAATTCGAACTCTTTATTAGTATAATTGAAGACTTGATATAAAGAACATATGATTTATAATATGTATGGAGATATGATGGGATGAATGATGAGAGAATGAGATTGCAAATGGAGGAGTTAGGTTAGGCATCTAATCATGTTTATACTTGGTAATATTCAAAGATTGGTAGAACTAAAGGGAGATAAAGTAATTTCTCCTCACAAAAGTGGATTTCAAAAGTTAGCGCAAGTCCAGCACTGGACCCCTCTTTCTGCTCATTTCTAAAAACAACATCATTCGATTTCCTTTATTTTAGTTCATATATATTTCAAAGGTTTATATAACAAATAAGTACCTAAAATATACAATCTTTTTCATTTAAGCATCAAAAGTATTTTTTTGGTCAAAATAAGTACCTAAAGTTATCTTTTTGGTCAAAATAGATACCTAAAGTATTCAATTTTTTCATCCAAGTACCTAAAGTATTCTTTAATTAATGTCATATGTTAACGTTTTTAGAAGTTATATATATGAAAGTGTTTGAATAGTTTAGGCACCTGTTTTGACATAAAATACTTTAGGTACCTATTTTGACTAAAAATATAACTTTAGGTATTTATTTTGATCAAAAAATAATTTAGGTACTTAAATGAAAAATATATTTTAGGTATTTATTCGTGATATAAACCTATTTTAAACTACTCGTAGTATTCTAGTTCGGTTAAATTAGAACAATAACGCTCTTTAACAAAAAGTAGCGAAATGGAATACTTGAGTTTTTATCTAGAAATTTAGTGTATTTAATACATTATTTTTAAATCATTGTGTAGGTTTGACTATTTGTAATATAATTGACGTCCCTTCTTAATGACTTTGCATTGATTTTTTAATTATAAGGAAAAGTTTTTTTCGCATAAATTATAAGGAAAAGTTGTCCACACAGAATGGTGACTTTTTCAATTTTTTTGAACTAAGGGACCAAAATGGAAGGACATAAAAAAAGTAGCTAAAATGAAAGAAAGAGAAAAGGAGTAAAAATGAATGAAAGGAAGAACAGGGATCAAAACATAAAAAATATTACAAACTTTTTCCAAAAAAACGCTCATGACACATGTGACGTGTTTTCATGAGCATAAGAAGTCAAGCAACAATGACAATTTTTCAGTTTTCTCTTCAATCATTCAATAAGTGTATGTTTAAAATGTTACATTTAAACACTTAAAAAAATTAATATCTAAACAATGTGAGGTTTGAGGAATTTTATAGTCAAAATTGTAAGTGCGTGCATGTTGTTAATAGGTTAAAAATATTCTAAACAAATATTATTTTGTAATCGCTTCATACTATTAATTTCTATATTGTAAATGATGTACACGGATATAGAGAACTTCAAAGAAAAATTTTCTTACCGTTTGAATATCTCTAGATTTAAATTATTTGAACTATCAGTTAAGTGAATTGATTTAATTCAGTTAAAATGGAAATATGGATGGGAAGGGGCAGTGGATTGCAGAAATGGCAGAGACATGACATTGCAGCAAGCTTTGGGGCGAAGTTGTTAGGCATGAGATGCATGCCCATGGAATTTATTCCGAGCTCTTAACTCAGCTTTAGCTTCGTCTTTCAGCATATTAGCAGAATGTTCCATTCCCATGTCCGCTAGCCTGACATTGATGTTAACACAGACATGATTGACGATTGCTCATGACATAAGATTCCCCACACCAAACACATTGTGCTTGCTTTGGTAGCATTGCATTCGACACCTAAATATGCATCTGATTACCCCAAACCCTATGCGACCAGGGAACCGGTAAGCATTAATCAATAGCCAAAGCAGGCCCTTCGTGAGGTGTGGACCACGAAACCAGATCTGCTTCAACCGAGACCCCAAAAACTTGTCAGAAGATTCTTCCATTCCAAGATGTAAGCTTCAAGCAGACTGAAAAGCCTACCTTGTTGTTTTGGTAAAAGAATTTTTCTTTTCCTTCACTATTTTCACACACGATGAGAGGATAACCTTTTTTTATTAAGAAGGCAGGAAAGATTTTTCAAGTCACGAGGAAAAAGCAGTCAAGATAGCAACACCGTCATTGTCTATGGAAAGTAGGGATGTGATTGGTTTGTGAAGAACAAAAATCAATGATGGTTGATACGCCATTGAAGCACCTTATTCCATTACAGTTTTGGTGGAACCAATCTTCACTATAAATTCCGGTTTTCTCATGCATGAAGGCCTCAACCTCATCCTCTTCTACATTTAATTTTGTCTGTGCATACATAGAGCTGGTGGGGACCGGGTAATCTGCATCCTGAGGTTTGGATCAGCATGTTCGTTTGCTTCGTCTAGTCCTTGGGATGCAGATTACCTCTTCCTTTCTGGCAATCCAAGGCTCCTATTTTTGTTTCAATTTTCAACCCTACAAAGAAGACTCCACTTAGCCTTCAAACTATTTTTCCTTCTCTCATGTTTGTGTTGGTTCTGCTATTTATTAAGGCATCGGTTTTGTAGGTTTAAGTTCTCCAGCAGTGGAGTTTCTTCATGTACGAGAAATATAACCTGGTGGCCACAGCCTGCACTACACAATAGGAATGTGGCAAACAATAAGAACCGGAGTGCATTCTTATTAGACTCGTTGTATTTCCTTTAAAACCTTAACATGTCTAACATGCTATTAACAGCCTTCAACCGATATCCTCGAATATTTTCGTTACTATGATTTCACGAGCAGGGATGGACCGATGGGTGCAGGGGAGCGACAACTTTTAAATTCCCTTATATTTTAGATTTTTTATTTGTATTTTCTTTTGATTATTTAATTTTGTACTCCTAAAATTTTTAATACAACTTCTTAAATTATCACCTCCCAACACAGATTTATAAATCCGTCCCTGTTCACGAAAAATTATTCTATGTACCCTTTCCACCACATAACCAATAGTTCCAACCTATTAAAAGACTCCACAATAATCTTTTTTTCCTATCATTTATACATAAGATTTTCATTTTCCAAATTAATTTCTCCATTTCATTAATGCATATCAAAATTTAAGAATTATTTTTAGAATCTTCATTAATTAATTTTTTTTACCTTTGTTTATCCAAAAAAAATATTCTTTATGTTCATTGAAGTTGAAAATTTGAAAATAAAAGAAATTGTGTAATCTTAAGAAACTAAAATGACTAAACAAAGGGTTCAACTAAAAAAGTACAAAAGCAAAAGCACTAGATTATTCATCATGACCACCTATGTTGCACTGATACGGATATGTATAAGGGGACGGGATGGTGATTGGAAACGACGATTTCTAAAATTACAGGGTACAACAACAGTAAGATTACGACATTAGAAAAAAAATTATAAATAAAGTAACATTTTATAGAAAATTGGTGTAACATCCTAATTTATCCCTAACTAAAAATCCTAACATTTGGGATTTTTCCCAAATTCCTAAATTATTATTTTTGGTCAATTTGAAAATATTGCAAAAATTATTTCCATATTCAAAATTATTATAAACTTTAGGGATCAACCCGGAAATTAGACAAAAAATTCTTTAAATCCTATTCTAACTCTTCTTTCTCCCCCACGCAGCCGCTTCCTAAATTATTTCCTTCTTTCTCCCCTACGACCTTCTCTCTTTCTTTTCCGTTTAGTGTGTTGTCGTTTAAGACCTAGTAAGGAAGAGCTGAAGATTCTCTCATCTCTGTTTGCAGCGCCGCGATAGTCACATGCCGTCTCCAAAACGAGTTCTTTTCCGTTCCTAGGTAAACACCAAATGTCCTCGAGTTCTTTCAGCCGTGCCCCACCACCGTGGCACGTCCCCGGTATGTACCCTAGCCGTCCCCGTGTCAGGGACGTATCAGGTACTTGAAACGGGTTCCTCTGCAGACCACTATTCAATCTACAAGACTTCCTCTGATAAACTAACAAGATAGATGATCGTGAGAAAAAAAAGACCATCTTAACTGCAAAACACTCCCCATTTCGTTCCCTTTTGAATCAAAAGCAATTATAAATGGCTCGTTCATCGAGTCCATAATGAAAAAAAATATGGAAAACATTTCTTCGACATATATTTTGTCGGAGACATCCAAATCTAAATATTTTTCTGTGTCATCATCTCATATGGACAGCTTTGAGTTTGATTTTACTGATATAATCTCCTACCCTACTTTAGTTACCAATTCTTCTATCTAAGATTTAGATCTCATCACTTGATAAGTTGAAATTCGATTCAATATTTCCATTTGATAACCCCAAATTCTCTTGTTTTCAAATTTTCAACAACAAAGGTAAAGACCTTTTAATGCATTAACGAAGATTCTAAAAATAATTTCTAAATTTAAGTTTAATTTTGATTTGTATTTATGCAATGGAGAAACTAATTTGAAAAACTAAAATCTTAATTGTAAAT